TTTCTATTTAAGGTAATGTTAATCAGCTGAAAGAAACAAAGCCAATTAGTTACATGCTGTTAGTTTTGTTCCCCATGCAACAGATTTCCTTGATGACTGCCGAAGCAGCTTGTTCATTAGAATCAAATTAGACAAACGGCACCGTCATTTCTCCTCTTCACTATTGTAGCATGTAGGCCTTTCTGTGAGTCTGTTGTGATTCTCAGTTGTTCAGTTAAGTTACTGCAAACCTGAATTGTCCGATTAACGTTTAAGAATTTCTCTTAAGTTTTTTTTTTTTTTTGCATGGATGTTACTAGTAGATTTCAGTGGTTCTCCCCCATTAATGCCTAGCGCTATAAAGGGAGGATTTCATCCTCCATAGAGCAATCTGTTAAGGACAGTCAAAGGCAGTTTGCTAGTCTTGGTTGGTTCTGTCCCCTGAATTTAATACCCAACAGTGCTCGTTGGGCTTATCACCTTGTCTTCGGAGAGTCTAGCAACGTAAACCTGATATGACATCAAAATATTACCATTATTAGAAGCCAAGTGACTGCATTTGTTACACGTTAAGAAACAACCTAGCCTCGTAGAAGTAAAAATCAACCAGCAGTGTGTGGCTCCTCTTGATCTGTGTAGGAAATAATAACCTACCAGATTCCTGGGGTTCCTGCCTGCTCTGTGAGTGCATCCTGAGAATGCAGCCTTTGGAAACAGCAAGTGAGCGTGGCAGACACGTTCTAGAATATCAGCCGTGCCTCTTTTCTGACTCATATACATGTTTAGCGTCTCTGTTTTCCATTTAGAAAATAGACTTTCTGGGTCTAACAGTAATTTGACCTCTGCAGTGCCTGGCATTAGTTTAATAAAAGGTCATACTCCTCACCTGTCAAAACCAGCTTGAGTAGAAATACATTTTGCAAAGCACAGTGCTGGCAGCTTTAGGTGGACAGAAATAGCAGCTACAGTAATGGAAGGGCCCCTAAATACTGGTGACTGTAATGTTTTAATGACTTTTCCCCAATCTTGATACTCTTACTCCTTTTTTCCTTAGACCAAGGGCAATCTTGATGGTTGTATCTTAGGAGATAGACCTGGGTATTTTCATTATTTAGACCCGAGGCTATCCTTTTGTATGACTTTTTAGTAGAAGTTTTTGCTTTATGTTTTTACTTGGATTATCTTCCTTTTCTTCCCATCTTCAGAGCATGACTTAAATTTGGGCAGTATCCATGAGAAAAGAAAGCAGAAGATTAATTTAGCTTTTTAAATAAAGCTGATATACAGAGAAGGGGAAATGGGTGCTGTGTATTGTTATTACCCCTCTGAGAATAAAGATTTTCACTCGCCTCAAGCATTTGGTACAGGTTTTAAGTTTAGTCTTCTCTCGCTTATCTTTCCTTTGGCTGGCTGCCTCACCAGCACTGGCAGCATCAGTCTTAGAGTTTCACCTGCCAAGGTGATTATTTATGCAACAGACATGCTTACTGAAAAGATTTTACTCTATTTTCTAGAATCTTAAATTTGTTTCATAGAATGATGACTTTTTTTGTGGTTTGGATTTTGTGCACAAATGAAGAAATATTAACATCAGATCTGTAAGGAAGTTATCATTTTTTTTGTATGTAAAGGCTAATGTCTTTCATATTAAAAATAAATAAATAAATAAAAACTCTGTACAAGCACTTATTGTGCCTTTTTTTATACTCATCAGAGGACTTTTTTTAAAAAAAAATTTATTGTTAGTCTACTGCAGTTGTCTCAGTTTTCCCCCTTTGGCCTCCTCTGCTGAACCCACCCTCTGCTTCCACAGTTAATCCCCACGCTGTTGTCTATGTCTATGGGCCACTGATTCTTTTCATTGCTTTTAGAGCGAGAGCAAGGAAGAGAAAGAGAGAGAGAGAGAAACATTGATCGGTTGCCTTCTCCTATGTGCCCAGCAGGGGACTGAACCCGAAACCTGAGTATGGACCCTAACTGGCAATCGAACCCGTGACTGTTAGGTCTGCGGGATGAAGCTCCAACCAACTGAGCCACACTTGCCAGGGCCTTGTGCCTTTTTAATGTAGTGTGATCATTTTCCTTTTCAAAGTATAAATTCAAGGACCCTTTTTAGGATGCTGTTTTGAAGAATACTAAGTCAATATAGTAGTGGTAGTTAGTAGGATTTAGGAAAACAGTCACAAATCTGAAATAGATTCTGATTATTTTAATAAACTTTACACAGTTCGGTAGGTTAATGCCATTACTTGACTTCATCGATGCCTTACAGTAGCATCGAATGGTCATGGCTTTTGCAGATATTATGCTTGTCAATATTAGCATGAAAATTTTAAGCTATGACCTGAAAATGAGAATAGATAAGAAACACACTTGAACAGTGAAATGATGGTTATATCCCCTCCCCAAGTATGTGGGCATTTGGCTTTTCTGCTTTCCACTTAGAAATAAGATTTCTGTGTTTAATAATAATTTACCCTTTTAGTATCCCTACCATTCAGGAAGATCTTGCTCCAGTAGCGATGGCCTATTCTCAGATTATCAGAATCCCCAAATGTCCTTCATTCTTTGTGGTGAGAAATGAGACCCCAGACCTTAAAAAAAAAGGAAGAAAAAGAAAGAAAACCTTAGTACACTGAAAAGGGCAGCCCGTGTGCTACTATTTAATTTTATTATTTAATTTATTCTATTACTTAATTTCTGATTAGTACATAGTCATTTTTGTATGATTCACTCCATTCATATATTCTTGCAAGAAATTTTAAAGCAACTTAAACAGGAAAGCGAATTGTTAAAATTTATATTTTTCTGGACTGATTTTTTTAAAGTTATGGGCTTTGAGAAGGAAGGTACTTAAAAATGACAGTATTGTAGCATTTAATTTAATCATTTTTCAGGGCAATTCCCTAAGAATTTTAGTTTAGTTTCAATTCTCTAAGAATTTTAGTGTCGTTTTCCATATTTGATGCCAACAAGTATGTGATTATTATCAATTTCCATTGTTTGCAACAGCAAAATGATAAAAATTTCTAACCCCTTTTTTGTTTGTTTTTAGAAAAGTGACATCAATGTACAGTGTTTTTGTTTTTGTTTTTTTCCTCTCTCACTGTTAGTCAATTTCAGATCATTTCAAATACTTTCCACAGTTCTGGCAGTCATCTAGTTTGTACTGCTAGCTGGAGATGTTGTAGGATGTGATGCCTAGCGGAGTTGTTAGAGCCCGCCTTCTCTCCCAATGTTTCTGAACAAACAGGGACCTGTGTTGCCACCAGTTTCATTATCAATATGGTGGATTTGCTGATGAGGGGAAGACTCATTTCTCAGCAACGGCGTTGTACAAATGCCTCTCAACCTCTTCTCTCCTTTCCTTCCCTCATCGTGGAAATACCACGCTAAGCTAGGAAATGGTAAATACGAAGGGATCACTGTGAAATCGTTTATTTCCACACATCATATTTTTACAGTAAAGAAACAGGAAATTTAGGCAAAAATCCCTCCCCCTCCCAAGGTGATACATACAGTGGTGGAGCTGAGATGGGAATCTTGCTTCCCAAGAAAACCAAGAGGAGAGTTGGAGCCCGCTGCCAGGCCAGAGGCAGGCGGGGAAAATAGTGGCGATGAGCAAACAGCGATGAACCTTGTTACATGGTCCTTCATAGAATCTGAGAATTTCTTCCGAAATAAATATTAGCTGTAGTTACCTAAAACCGTTCTTCAATAACATGTAGTTGAAAAACAGTAGAAGAGAAGAGAAAATTCTACTAGGCATAAGGAAATTGAAAATAGGATGGAAAAGAGAAATGTTTTTGAGTTTAAAAAATGTCCAGCTCTAACAATTTTAAAAACACAAAGATGCAAGAAAAAGTATTTAACAAAAAAGAAAAATAATTAAAATATTTCTCAAACCACCATCAGTAGTGTTTTAGCATATTTGTTATATCTTTTTGGAGGGTTTATTTTTATTATTTTGTATCCCTCATATATATTTTTGTATAGTGCCCTTGTGGCTTAACATCGAATCATAAGTTTTGGTCATGTCACATCTAAACTTTTGAGATGTAACAGTTACTATTTGGTGTTTCATCATTATGTCATGGTTTATATCACCATCAATTCCTATAGTACTTGATATTTAGGATACTTACAGCTTTTGCTAAATGCATTACAGGATGATTTTCCTGGTGCAGAAATATTCAACTATTTTATATGACTCATATAAAAGAGTTCTAGAAACACAAAATGGATAATAAGTAGAATTTTCAGAGGATGATAAATGCTATGAACACTTAAAGGAGACAGAAGGCTTTGAAAAGACTCCCAATTCTAGACTTCCATGCTTAGGAATCTTGAACTCTACATCTTTCGTAACGGAAAATCTTTTTTCTTTGCTATGACTTCGGAGGCTTCTTGACTCCCTTTTAATGCAAATTGTGGAGTTAAGTTTCAAGTAAGGCAGCCCATAATATCTGAGTTAGAGAGTCACTTTACCATTTTTCCCATTTCTGTTTTTTTTTGCCAAGCCTTCTCATTCAGGGCTATATTTCTTGTCTCTCTAGTATTTCCTAGAATTTCTCTTAAATGTCACTAATTTTAATAGCTTAGCAGTGGCAACACCACTTTCTGGCAGTGTCCTGATAGCGCCATCAAATCAAAGAGCTAAAATTTTCCTCACTTTGATTGATGAGCTCATTTTGTTACAGAGGACAAATTGGATTTTTTTTTTAAATACTGGGTAATAAAAATTAATGTGTGATGTTGCTTTTCAGATGTTGTTGGATCTCTGCCTTAATACACATTTCAGCAATAAAAGCACAAGCTGGTAACTTGACCAGAAAGTTACCCCCTTCTCCATTCAGTTACCCTGAAAAGTAAAAGTTACTTTTCTAATCTTGTTACCTTGGCACATTTAAATATGTGTGTACGTAGGTATGTATTGGTGGCAATGAAGCAAGCTGTGGCAGTGGGGTAGTAATTTGTGTTTCAATCTTTCATCTAATTGTGACTATTTCTTTTTATTTCAGCTCCTCCAAGGTTTACACGAACACCCGTTGACCAGACAGGGGTCTCTGGTGGAGTTGCCTCTTTCATTTGCCAAGCTACAGGAGACCCAAGACCTAAAATTGTCTGGAACAAAAAAGGAAAGAAAGTCAGCAATCAGAGATTTGAGGTATTAGGTCCATTGTTCTGTTTCTCTGGGGGAAGACTCTATCTGCTGTATCTTTGGTTTGAATGTTACTTGCTTGTTGTACTCTGTTATAAAGTGTCACCAAGATATGGCATTCTTTATGTTACATGTGATGGAAAATCCAACATTAAATGGCTTTTAAACAAAGGGAATTTGGGGGTTTCGATTGCTGACTTTGTCTCTGCTTGTACCAAGACTCAGCTAGTGTTCCCAGCATGCCGCGGTTAGCCCCATCCTCACAGTGCCTACTCCTAAAGCTGCAAGGTGCGGTCTCTCATCTTCCCACAACCAAAATTAGAGGATTCATGAAAGCTTCCTATGCCATTGTTTTTCTATGTCATCGACTCAGACTGAGTTACCTGTTCATCCCTAAACCAATCTGTGTGGACAACTAGATGAAAGTATTTAAGTTAATCAGAATCTACCTCTGTTGCTGGGAATGAAATCAGCCCCATTCAACCTCATGGTTTGGAATGAGGGAGCTGTGTTTTGTTCCTGTTACCAGGAATTAGGGGAGTGGATACTGGGCAGCAAAGAAAGTTCTTCACTACTCATTGCATCTATGTTTTGCAAGTAGCATGAACTAGAATGAGAAATTTGCTCCGGTGTGTTAGTGTAAAGTAGTACTCTGTAAAAAACATACCCAAATGGGATGATATTGCAGATAAACCTATTGTAGTAATCGATTTTCTTTATTAAAAAATCTCAGTATAATGAAAAAGATGAAACATAATTCAGATTTTTTTATTTTGGTATTTGTGAGGAACATTATGGTTTAGAAATTAGTTCATTCTGGAGGAGAAAAAGAGGCATTAAGCTACACAGAAAAATTCTGGAAAAAACACAAAATATTGTGCTTGTAATTTAAGACAGAGGGTAGCTTGATTATTAGATGGTAGTAAGACCTCCAAGTGTAAAACTCCCTCATACTTGATGGCCGTCTTCACAAATTGGCAAATTAAAGGCAATTCCTAGTTAAAAGAAATATAGCAACTACAAAGTTCAGAACTGTTTGATAATATTTATTTTTCACCAGTAATTATAGAGTGATTAATGGTCTATATGCACAAAGAATCTAATTAATTATAATAATAGATATTAAAATCTGGACTGTAGTTTACAAATGAAAAAATTTTAATTGTTTGAAAATCAGAGATCTATCGTGATTTAAGAATAAATTATTCTTAATAATTTTATTTAAGAATAAAAATTATCTTAAGTAATCTTTGGGGAATATTTCCTACATTCAGTAGAAAATGATGTGTGTGCTCATCTTTGCTGCACATTTTTAGAAATTTAAATGAAACTGAATTTTTTTTTTTGTCAAAGAGTAGTTTGTTATCATGCTTGCTAATGATGATGGCTTCTTAACATAATCATGTAACAAAGATTAAATTATAATGGTAAGCATTCAAAGCACTAGCTCTGTTTAGCACATAATTCTTAATAAGGGTCACATACATATATTCAGGGAAAATTTTTTTTTTAACACAAAGTTCCTTCATCAAATGGTACTGAGTCTTACGTAAAGAATCTTTAATATCTGTACCATTATATATGGCTATTTTTTGGCCTTACTCATTCATGAGGCCCATGAAAGCAGTGGGTAAGACTGATTTTGCTTCCCCTTATATCTCCAGTGCCAAATACAGTGTCTGACCTAGATTAGATACACATCATTAAATACTGGGTATTAAATAGGGTTTCAAATTGGAAATTGCAGCACCAGTTTTTAACGTGTGCTGTAGTGTTTGTCGTTAAAGAGTTTGAGTCTAAATCTAGGCAATCGTTCAGAAATGTAAACATGCAATGGCAGGTAACAATCAGAATTTAAATTTGTAGCAAAGATGTTTAAATCTTTCTTCTCATTAAGCCATAGGATGTTTATAAATAATTTTTAAAAATTATGGCATATTTGACAAAGATTCTCATAACTGAAATTCTCAAGATGTGTAGTAGATTCATTCTAACTGTGTGCTTAATGGAGTTGAAAATAAATTGTGTTGCATTGAGAAGTGGGATATTTTGGCTGCCTTTGTGAATTTCAAACATAAAGAGAATGCAGAAAGACTTGAAGTGGACGTGTTTTAAAAATATTCCACCTCTTTCAAATATGGGACTGTACATTCCATAAATATATTATAAGGCATTCTCTACTTCATAATTTAAGCTCATGCACGTATTATTCACAAGTAAATGCATGGAAAAAAAGCACAGCATCTCAGTGAACAGCTGCAAGAACCCAGCATAGTTATAGGAAAGACAGGTAGAAGACTCCATGGTTTCCAATAGGTATTTATTAATATCATCATCATTATTGTTTAAAAGTAGTACTTCAACTAGCTGATAAAAGCTTAGGATTGCCAAACTCTCTCAGAGTAGAGTTCATAATGGTCGTGAATTCAGAGCTTACTGTTTAGGACATTAATTTTCTGCCTGGTGAAGCAAGCCTCCATTTTACAGCAAGAATGCCCTAAAAATGCAGAAAATGCTAAGCTAGAACAAACACTGGAATGATTTATGGCAAAATTAATGCATGCCATCAGGCTCTTGGGCTGCCTAAGTATTAGATTTATGCGGTTTCTCTTCATGGTTCACTCATTTATACTGTTCAGGCTGAGACACCTTAGACCAGAAGAGCTATTGGTGGCAGCATGCATTTTTTTCCTTCACCTTACAGTCCAATTATTGAATGGATCCACATGTGCATATATGTTTAAAGAGACAGAATAATTTGAAAAGTTTATCCATCATAGAAACAAGTCTCTTGCAAAATTAAGAGGTTCAAATCGCCCTAAATAAACCTACTGAAATATTTTTGTAACTAAACCCTGGATGGTTTTCTGCAGACGACAACCTACATTTTGCATATGTAGTTACATGTCTTTTCCCCTTCATTCAGTGGTTTTGTTAAATTAATCCAAATATTGTTTTTCACCACTGTATCAAAATTTAGTCTCAAAATGCTGCTGACTTTATTCTGAGCCTGAAGGCTGGTTCACCACTTCATTAAGAGGTTTAGCGGAGAGGTGGACAATTGTAACAACACCTATGACAGCTATATTTCCTCTAATAGGTAATAGAGTTTGACGATGGATCTGGATCAGTTCTCAGAATACAGCCCTTACGAACCCCAAGGGATGAGGCCATTTATGAATGTGTGGCCTCAAATAACGTCGGAGAAATAAGTGTATCTACCAGACTCACAGTTTTGCGTGGTAAGTACTCAAGTGGAAGGTTGTTGCTTATGTCATTGTTGAAATTCTGTATCCCAGATCTTCTTTTGTGGAGACATTAAAAAGACTAGCATTGTCCTGACATATAAATCAGAAATGAATTGAAATAAGATGGTTATAACTCAACTTTTAAATACATAGTAGGTGCCTTTTCTTAGGAGGCTTGGAAAATGTGAATCAGAAGGGAACGAGAAAAATCTCAAAAGAAATTCTGATTTCCCATTTCAGATGTCATTTTGATTTTTGGTAGCGAACCTAGAAAGAAAATAGGGTGTGCTACTGTTTTTCATGTGAACATTGTATATGGAGATTTCAGACTGAGGTCAGCAATGGCTTTTTACAAATGACCAGTGTTGACCTTGATGTTTGCAAAATTAAAGCAACGTTCTCTACCTACAGATGTGCTACTCTTAAGCAGAGGACTCAAAACCAAGAAAGATACCTTTCTTCTTTAAGTCCAAAGTGTGTTTTTATTTTAGCCTTTTACATTTCTTGACCTAGCATCTCTTGATGTGAAGTGCATCCAGCTCTGTGGCATGTGCAGTTTGGCTGAAGCGTGGATGACATGGCAAATCTCCATGCAGTGTGTCTCCTTGCTAGACTTTCTTTGGAATGACAGTGCTGGAGAGTAAAGGATGATGATTAATAATGCTGTATTGCGTATCTCTAATTCAGTCTTTTGAGTAGAAATGAGAACATTACTTGATTTGGCTTGCCTAGCAGTTGACATTTCCAGACTAACTTCTGTGCCTTTGTCTGTTTTTCTTTCACACACACTTTGATTTGTTTTGTTTTGCTTTTAACTTCATTTTGCTTGTTGCACAACTTATGGGGACAGACTTAAAAGGAAGAAAATTGGAAAGAAGGGATCAAATTTAATAATTATAGGGGGAATATGTATGGATTAAGAATAGTTCTCCTCCAGTTTACTTTTTTCCATTGAGAGATTTATTAACTTTATGTGTTTTATAAATTCAAAAAGCATTTTCTTCTAGATCTATTTATGTAATATATAAGTTAGTTAATCCATGAAGCTTAGAAAATTAAATTGTTTACATGTATATGCTGAAATATATTTTAAATAATATAAATGTCTTAGTCTCAGTGGGCATCTAAGGCAACTAGATACAGATATTTTAAATGCTTATAATAGAATGTTGCTTAAAAACAAACAAGTCAGATTTGAGCTGTATTTCCTGTCATTATGACAAGCTCAGTTCATACAGGAAATACTCTGCCCCCCTAAAAATGCATAGAGATGTTGATAAAATATCTGAAAACAAAATTAAATGCATTGTTAGGCTTGCAAAGGAGAAAGAAATATCCAGGGGCTGCAAACAAAGAGAATCTTGGAGAAGATATCCCAAGATAATAACCAAATGGATCATATGCTTTAGGACTGGAGTTTTATCTCTCCAGCAGGACATAAGCCTATATAAAATAAGATGTAAGTAAGAGGAGAAAGATCAGCTTTTAGCATAAAGATGAGTATTCTAGTACTCTTCCTACAGTGAAATACTCAGAACCCAGAAGCTAACATGAAAGCTGATCAGAAACAGTGAATCCCATAGAGTGTGAAAAAGGCAGCCATATAAGCACTCACCTCTCAGAGACACGTCAAATCCATGACATACAACCCAGATAAGGTCATTCATGCCCAATGGCCTCATAGGTAGGTACCACTTCCAGAGTATGAAAGCCCGTTCCCACTCACGGTGGACAGGAAGCCCAGTCAGTCTGTGAGCTACAGACAACTGAGCTGTATGAATGGCTTTTAAAAGGAACATACTTCAAATACCTGAAAGGGTAAAGGAAGGAGTAAAATCTTTCAAACAGGAATCAGACATTAGGAAAAAAGCAGACAGGAGTTAGAAGCCAGATTTTAGAACTGAAAGGAACCTTAGAGACTGTTCTACATGCTATAATACAAACTACAAGTATGTACATATGTTAATATACATACATATTAACATAAACATAGATACAAGGTCTGAAAATTGTAGAATCATTTTTGTGAAGCAAGATCAAACTCATTTGTTGACCTTTTAAACATTTTAATTTTCATTTACTCACCCAGTTTAGAACTAATGCTATTTTTTAGAAAGTGTATTAATAAAGGTGAAATGAAATTTATCAGAAGGTTTTTATTTGTTTTGTTTTTTGTTTTGCCTTCTGAATTCCTTGAACAAACTCCTTAAAAGGAAACAATGACAGTCATTTGGCTTGACTTAATTTTTATGTATTTAATGAAGACATTAACAAAAGTTCGAGGAAAATACCAATCTATATAAATACTTACATGGATTTATGTTTTCCTGCCTCTCAGCTGCCTAGGGTTCCCCACTCTCATCTGCTTACATCCAGCTAGCCCCCACATAAAAATTTGAAAATGTTAATATGATCTTGACTTTCTATGGGAATATCTGTCATATGTAAGTACAGTTGTATGAAAATTTATGATTATAGTAAAGTAGCGAAACCTTATTTTTTTAAAGACTAAATTTAGCAATTTTGGAAATGTTTCCTGAGAAAAACTCAGAAGTATTTTGGATAATGGGAAAGAAGTCTAAACATAACCTTAAAATAGGATGCTTTCATATATCCATGTAGGGCTAAATAAATGGGGTTGGAAATTTTGTTTGTTTCTTACATTACTTCTTTGTTTAAAAACTTCAAATAACTATTGATAATTCTATTAATAATCATCTTTTAAAAATATCCTAATGGTAAACTGACATTCATAGAATATGAACAACATGAACAGTTAACTAATTGAAAGTGAATGGTTCATATCATACCTGATGGGCTTCGTGCCCATTTTAAGTTAGCTTTCTCATACAAATCACTGGCAGATACACTTTCTGCTCTGCAGTGGGTGAAGACGGCTTTATATTTGTCATCACAGGCCCTCATTGGATGTCCATTTGGTTCTTATGGGCCATTTACATTTTTCCCCACTTTGCTGACCATGCCAAAAGTGTGCCAACTGTCCTGATGGGTTTTGTCTAAGTGGACTGGATGGAGATCACTAATTTATTTCACACAGGCTACTAAAGAACCTAATTAATTGCAGATTTAAACATCTGACCAGTGTGGCTAATGTAGGAGATGTTGAAATAATACTCTGACCACCCATGCGCACCAAAGGGAGTGTTTTAGGGAAAACTTTCCCTCTGTAGCTCGTTTCAAATAATGCTAGCTCTGAAAAACTGTTTTCATAAGCAAAGGTAACTACAAATTTGGGCTGAACGTGCCCTGGAATGAGCTATTTGGGCAATTACCACTTACACACTGTAGACTGTAGTTTATAGAAGAAGTAGTGGGAGAAGGGAGATGTAAATACGGTACTTAGAGCCTCTAGCTCATTTTTTAAGGGTTTTTTTAATTTTGTTTTGTTTTGTTTTTTTGGTGGCTCTGCCTGTGAAAACAAGCAAATACCAGCTCTCTAGTTCTGTAGCATTTTAGGAGGCTGAGCATATCTATCATACCATGTGTTTTCCCTGCCCACCAGAACTTGAAGTGAATGCCTGAGATGTCACTCAGAGGTTATGTATTTAGGGCTCAGTCCTACATAATTGTAGAATTCTACTAAGGACATTGGATTGGCTATTAGACTTTGAATGTAGGCTAAGGGTAGGAGCAGAGAGGGTGTTTTGAGAAGAGAAAACATAATCTAGAGGGAATTGGCTCTTCCTGAATCTTTGCTCCACTGGTCATAATTTCTTTGTGAGCAAAGATATCAGGAGGAAAACTTGTAATATAAATTTATATAATGCTAACTGAGGATGTAAATGTTCTCTCAGATATGTTATCAGCCACTGGACAGGGAAAATGAAACATCACCATCCAAAGACTTTCTGTACAAGCAAGCCATGGTGCACCTGTCACTTTTAGGTGCCTAAGTGCCAAGATATTGAGAGTTTTTCTTCTTGCTCACATAATTCCCATTCTACAAGAGAACTTATAGAAAATTTAATCGTTTGCCTCTGATTGTCTGACTAAATGTCATGTTCTTGAATTTATATTTTTTATGAAATCAGAAAATACACATTTTGTTGTCATCTGAAACAGAATGTAATTTTTTTTTCTTTAAGTTTAGTGGATTATTTTCCAACTCTTGCTCATTCCCAAATAGCACTTCCCCCAGACCACCAGCAGCACTAACATAAAACAGGATATAATGCAGGGTGGGACAAAAGTTGTTCTACAGTTGTGCATACGTGAAACACAGAGTTTATGCTTGTATTATTATTTATTAATTATTCTGTTATTTTCCATATGAATAACTGTGAACCTACTTTTGCCCCACCCTGTATACACCCTTGTTGCTCTTATGTTCTCATAGGAAACCGGTTTGTTCATAGAACACATATAAAGTAAAAAATAATTGCTTAAAAATGTTAGTGCCCAGCCCTGGCCGGGTAGCTCAGTTGGTTAGAGTGTCATCACAACAGCCAAAGTCCTGGGTTCGTCCCTGGTCAGAGCACACACAGGAATCTGCCAATGAATGCATCACTCTCTCCCTCTCCCCCTTCCTCTCCCTTTCTATGAAGTTAAAAACTAAAAATTAAAAAAAAAAGTTTGGTGACCAAAAATGGGATGAGTTACCTAGTTTTACAGATATATTTTATGAAACAATACTTATATTTGAATACCTACATAAATGCGACTTATTTTATGAATAATCATCATCAAGACATAGGACAATATGCAAAAGTCCACAAGACTAAATATCCAGTAATTTGAGTTTCAGCTCTGGCTTTGTCTCACAATAGCTGTAGTATCTTGAACTGTTAACTATCCTGTTTCCTTGGATTTTTTTTCCCTCCTGTGCACAGGGAAGGGATTGCATTGGTGAGCGCTCAGATCACTCCTCTCTTGCTTTCTATGATTCAATGACATGCCTATTTCAGCAAGTCAGTTCTTGTAAGATGGAAAAAATATGCTCCCTGAAGGTGACTGTTACTGAGATAGTAAAACAC